TCCTAGGTGAGAACTGCCCAGCGGAGCCCCGCCAACCCACAGACCAGCAGGAGGGGGCAACATGTTCTTCTATGGCTATGTTTTGAGGTCCTTTGTTCCCTAGCAATTGAGAACCTGAACACATATGTATGCAGATGCATATGCCTTACTGAAGTTTCCCTTAAAAACATTCAGGTTGTTTCCAATCTATTGGCTTCAATCTTCAATGAAATGATGTAATGAATTTCACCCATTGTTTTGTACAATTGCATGTATATAAGTTTCCAGAGCTGGAATTAGTCAAAGGATAAATGCATTTGCAATTTGGTATATTCCCTCATTTAAAAAGCCCATTTCCTTGCTCATATTTTCCTACTGGCTTGTTATTTTACTTCTCAGTTTCTAGAAAATTAGTTAGTTGGGCTATGAGGGACAAATATTTTCCCCCAGTATCATAAACTTTGTTCTTGTTGATTTTTTCCATTTCCCCCCAGGATCTTAAGCTTTGTTTGTGTTGATTTTTGCCATTTAGGATACTTCTAAGTTTTAAAAATTTTACATTACCAGGTTTTTGTAGCAATATAATGCTTTTTGTGTCCTTTTAATAAACTTTTCCTATACCCATTTCATTTTGTTTCGTTTTTCTCATTTTTGATCTTTTGAGTTCCTTACTGTGCTTTTATTAGTCTCTATTTTCTCTTCATCTACCTTTTTTTTTTTTTTAAGATTTCTTTTTTTTATTTATGCATACAAGAGCTGGGGTACAGGCCAGAGGTGCGGAGCCGGGATGGGAGGATTCACCAGACAGAGTGGGGAGCAGAACAGGCAGATGTACTGAAATACACTGCTGAGGGGAGCAGCGGGCGAGTCAGGAGAGGTCTGCTGTGCCATGTGGGTAGTTCCCTGGCTGGGGATCAAACTTGTGCTGCAGTGGCTGCTGATAGCCTCACAGTGCTGAGACATAACCCCTTGCGCCACCAGGGAGGCCCCCATTTACCTTTCTTTGTTTTGTTTCTCCCATTTCTATCCTGAATTTCACCAGTTCATTATTTTCATCTCTCTTTGGTAACATCTTACCTGCCAGTTACTTTTCCTGATATTTTTCACTCAAATCTTTCATTTTATTTTTTATTTTATTTTTTTCTCTCTCTTCCTATCTCCCACACCCCCTACCCTAACTCCAGAACTAACTAACTTGAGAATTACTAGAAAAGATAAATAATTCCAGTATTTATACAGCCATAGAAGAGAGGTCTGGTAAATATGGTACAATAATAGAAATAAGTTGCATTGTTTTCTTTCTTTCTTTCTCTCTCTCTCCCTCGCTCTCTCACGCTCTCTCTCCCTTTTCCTCCCTCCCTACCTCCCTCCTTTCTCCTTCCCTTCCTTCCTTTCCTTCCTTCCTTCCTTCCTTCCTTCCTTCCTTCCTTCCTTCCTTCCTTCCTTCCTTCCTTCCTTCCTTCCTCCCTTCCTCCTTCCTTCCTTCCTTCCTTCCTTCCTTCCTTCCTTCCTTCCTTCCTTCCTTCCTTCCTTCCTTCTTTCTATCTTTCTTTTTCTCACCTTTAGGGAAGGTGAGTTTTTCTGGGGCCAAACAACTTGCAGGATCCCATCCCAGCCTAGTAGGAATTTCCCTTCTGAAGCAGAGTTATGTGCATGAGTTGTAGCCACACACTCCTCAGTCAACAAAGAGGGCCACTTATGGGGTTTTCTAAAAGGCTCTCTTCTCTCCTGCTGCTTGCAGGGAGGATGTTCCCTGTAATATGTGATTTTTTTTTTTTTTAATCATGTCACCTCTCTACTTTTCACAACTAACTTAGGTTCAGGAGAGTGCTTGTTGCCCTTAACTGTCCCTTTGTTGTAAATATGAGACTGAGTCTGTTCCTCACCTCATCTCTAATCTTTTACAAATATATTTTATTGACTCATTTTGATTGCTAAGTCATGGGCTCTTCTTTCTTCCTTCTCTATGGTCTCCTGCTTTTTTGTAGCCCTTCCATCTGTTTCACTGTTCTGTTTTTACTCCCACCTCTCACCATTTATTTGGGTCTTTAGGACTGCTACCAGCAGACTCACACCCAGGCAACCTTGAATTGTCTTTTCCAGCCTCTGGGGGTGGGGAGGGCTTATATGCCCAGAGAAAGGGCCCATGAGCACAGCGCAATGCAAATTAGGCTTCAAGTCAGTCAAGTTCCAATTGGTGTGACAGTATGCAAATTAGCCAAGTTAGTCCAGCAGTGATTGGTCCAAACTCAATCTTCAATCTCAGTCCATCTGTGGTGACCAGGCTTTTTGTTTGTTTTTGAAGTTTTATAAAAATACACTTTAACATAAATCTCTCTAACCCTGTAGTTTTCTAGCACCATTTGTATGTGCACTCAGGCACCTGATTGTATTGTTTCAGCTTCTTGGGGTCCTGAAGTAGATAGAGAAATGACTTGTAGAGAGAAATGAGCACATGCCTGGCCCTGTGCTGGGAGCGTCACATACCTCAGTATTTCTGGGAGCAGGTGATGTTACAGTGCCAGTCAGTCCTAGGAGCAAGGTTCTAGGCGGGTATACTCACTCCCCAAGCAGCTGTCATAGGTGTGTAGGCCTGGCCTGCTGAAAAGCACGATGGTTAATGTTTCCAGTCACCAGGGTCCTCTTCTCCTGTGCCTACCTCCTCATCTCCATGGCAATATTGAAAAGCCAGTCCTTTTGATATCATATTGACTTAGTTTCTAATCATGACTACAACCAAAATAACTGAATCTGCTATCAGTCCCCGGATGACCAAATCCAGGTCCTGTTAAGGTAACTACATTTTGCCCGTCAGGCTAGTGCTCTGGAAACTACACTCCAAATAAGCGGGTGTTCATTACTAACATTTTAATGAAAGAATTTCAGGCAAACTATCCATTTAAAAACTAGATCAAGTAGACACCTATGAAGACCCAAAGTGTCTCTTGCCCAGCTCACTTACTTTAAACATGACAAAACAAATATGGTTTCATTGGTTCTTTTGTTCACATTTTTAAAATTGGATACAGTATTTTGACCACTCTTCATTGCTCACTAATGAAGTCAATGCAAATAATCTTCATATTTGTTTTTTAAAAGGTCAAAAATCCATTACCTAAAAATACATTTGCTTAAAATTTTAAAAAAATTGCTTAAAATCTAAAAAAAAAAAGTGTTTTTTACCTTATGAACTCCCTTGGCCTTATAAACCTGTCAACAGAGCAAACTGGGGACCAGCTTCCAGCAGCCATAAACCCTACAGCCCTTTTTACAAGTATTTTTATTTTGGAAATGTAAACACTTGTGTTGAAAAGCATTTACCTGCAAGATGAATGAGCAGCAAAATGATTAGTGCTCATTTAGCGATGAGTTGCTCCAGTCAGCTTGTTAACAATGGAAAGTTGACTTGGTTGACTTTGAAAACAGATGCTTTTCACGTCTGGATTAAAGAAGTCTCCTGACTTCTCTCGCCTGCCTGGGCCTGCTCAACCCCAGGGTCCCTAGACAGGCTCTGTCCTCACAGGCCTGTCAGCTAGACTTGATGGTGTCTCCATGGAGCAAAGGTTCTAAACACAACTTTTAGGCCATAGCACCTTGCAGAGAAAAAAGTGAAATGACAGTCCTAAGAGATTCTCCACTTCCAGAAGAGCTGAGACTGTCCCCTGAATTCTTATTGCTTCTCATTCTGAGGAAAGGGTTGGTGGGGCACACAGTAGGTGCCAGAGCTGCCATTAATTTCCTTTTCCTTGGCCTTGCCTCAGGCCACACAGGCCTAATTCCACTCATTCCAGTTCAGGCTCACCTTCTCCATGGAGTCTGTAGTCCACACCTGACAACCCTGAACTCTTTTTATGATTCTTCTATTCTGTTTGAGAATCTACAGTTCCATCCACTTGATGCCAAACTCAACTGCCTGACTTTTAAGACCTGGATAAACTTACCTCACCCAATTTATTACCCACTGCTCCCGGCTTCCCTGAACAGCTACCCTGGGTGCTACAAAGGAAAGATGAATCACAGCTCTGCCAATTAACAGCTGGTGCATCTCAGAGTCTGCTGCCTTCCCCAAAGGAGAGTGAGAAAATGGCAAATGGATGTGTTGACATTTACTAAAGGATAGCATTTCCGTAAGACAATAACATGACCATACTCATCACCAAACAGTCAAAATAGAACCAACTTGCTTCAGCTTATAAAGTGAAGCAGATGGGATGGGGAGTGGGGACATTGGGTGGTGGAAGACTGCAGGTGATTGTTAAAAAAAATGTAGTGACCCACTCTGAAATCGCCCTGGTATTTACGGCTTTGAGTTCTAGTTCTAATTGTTCCTTTCTGCTTGTGCCCCTGAGACAGAAGGTGTTATTTCTTCCTCTCCCCTCCCCCACCATAGGGATTTTTCCTTGTAACTAAGATGTTTCAGAAATGTGTTTTAAATTTTCCAGATGGGTGGTGTTTCTGCAGTCATCTCACAGTGATTCATTTTTAACATTTTATTTCATTTATTTATTTTGTACTTCTCTGAGCCTTTTCTCCAAATTTTGCTAACGCTTATTAATTAGAATTATTAATCGCTATACCCTTAAGTAAACTTAGCTGCTATTTTATTTACTCCCTACCCCACCCTTCTGTGTGTCCCTGGAACTTTTAATAAGGTTTTCAAAAATAAAAATAAATTAGCTTCACGTGGGAGCCTGGACCTTGTAAAATATGATCATCAAAGGGGAGTAGGGGTGTCAGAGGGCTATACTTTGAAATCCTAGTGCCCAGACCCCATCTCGGACCAGTTTTATCAGCCTCTCTGGAGTGGCCCTGTGTTAGTACTTGTTCAAGCTCCTGATGAGCACCGTGTGAGGCCCGTGAAAGAAACACTGCTCCTGATACTACAGGAGCACATGGGGGGCGGGGGGGGCAGGGGGACAGATCAGACAAGAAAGCCAAGAAAGAAGGTTCTAGCTAGCCCATAGCTCAGCCTCCCAACTCCACTTCAGATCAGAGACAGAAAATTTGTCTTTGTGAGAAAAAAAAATTAATTCTGATAGGCTTTGACTATGTTCAATTTCCTGAATCATTTTTTATTCTGTCTTTTTTAGAAGTATGTACATCATTTGGGTCATTAGGATGTAGTTGATAAATTATAAGATATCTTAGCTCTCGTGAGAATTTCCATAGTAGACTTAGCCCTAAGTCTTAGCCCTTAGTCCTTTTCAGTCATTTTCAGTTTCATTTCAAAAAATTGGCAGCAGCCCCCTAATTAAATCACAGATAGGGTGTGTAAGGTTCTGGTGAATACTAAGCATGTGAGGGTCCTCAAAACCACTCCCATATTCAAATATTTGTTATAAGGACTCACAGGGGTTGTATTCATAGCTAAAATTTATAATAATAGTGTAGTTAGGACACACAGCTGACTCACAGGGGGAAAGATACAGGTGACCTGCAAAAAGCATGTGAAACCCTCCAATGTTTTCTCTCCCTTCTGTGTGGGTAATTACAAAGGAGTGCACCCCAGCAGTGAAAATGCAGCAACATGCACGCAGTTCAGGGCCCAGGAAAACCCATAAAAGACAGTGGCCTACAGCTTTCATGGGGACTGGTCATGCAGGCATCTAGCTAGCACCTTCCAAAACTCCACCTCACCAGAAAAGTGTTCAAATAAGTCACATTGTCTGTACAAAAAGGGAGTGAGCCACTAAGGCATATCAGTATTAGGAATTGTTTACCTGTTGAGACCAGACATCAACCAAGGACCAACCTTGAAAGCAGGCCTTCTGGAGGATAGTAGCCTCAGCATGCTCCCATGTTATTTGTGCAAGAACAAATTTTTATTTTTTTAAACAGGAAGAACTATAGTCTCCCCCAAAGCCTCCCACCCCCACACACAAACATCAGTTTCATTTCAAACCTTACAGTGGTTTCTCGTTGCTTGTTTTTGCACAAATGATGAGACGAAACAGTCTCTGCCTTCTTGAACTTCTGTGTATTGGGGAGCAAAATATTCATCTAATCATTATACTTAAAATACAAACACATCTCTGATAGATCCAGGAAGAAGAGGTAGAGCTGCCACAGGAAGCTCTGACCTGAACTGGAGGTCAGGAGAGACTTCCTAATGTTTCTCATGGCAAACTAGGGTCAAGCAAAGCAGAGGGAAGATCAGGATTTCGATAATTAGAAGTTTGCAGAACATTCCAGGTAAGGAAACAAGGCTAAAAGTCATGTAATTAGAGTAAGCAAGGCATGAGAGAAGATTTAAAAAGGTAGTGTGGCTGTAAGAGAGATGGTTACTGAGAGCAATGAGAAACCACTGAAAAGTGTGAAATGAAACTGATGTTTGTGTGGGGGGAGCTTGTGGGGAAGACTAGTTCTTCCTGTTAAATTGAGCAATCTGCTAAGAAAAAAAAAAAAACAGCAAAGGCTGGATATCAACAATTATGAAACATTATTTTCTGAACGTTTTCAATCAGTCATGTTTTTTGTCTTCACTTCAGTTTTGGAGACAAGAACAGTCATTCTCAGTTCTGGTTGTGAAATACCCCAGAGCATCTGCAATGATTTCTAGGGTTCTTAGTAACTCTTCAAAACAAAACTAATTCATTTCACCATCCATACTCATGTCAAACACACAAGTTAAAGCATAACATATATTTTGACTGGTCAGGGGAGTCAAGGAATCAATAATAGGGACATTCTTAAAGGTTTAAGGGTAGAAGAGCAATCATTTGATTAAAGTATTTGCTAAGCATCCACATGAATATTTAGCACAGAGCACAAAATGAGACACAAAAATTAAAATTAAAATCTTGAGAGAAAAATATTTAAGGAACTAATGGTATAAACTATTTTAAGGTTATTGTTTCTATATTAATATAATGCATGTTTATAATAAGAAGTGTCTACTATAAGGAGGCAAATAAGAAGACAAAAGGAAAAGAAATATTATTTGTACTTTTAATACTAATTTTTAAGGTAACTTCCCTCAGTCTTCCAGTTTAGCTTTTTTCTACTTACTATTTATACAGTCCTACAACAAATACTCTTACAGCTAAATCTTTGCATGACATTCATGATCATTTCCTAAGCTTATCTTTTTAGCAGCACGTATTGCAGATGCAAAGGGAATAGAAAATGTTAATAAGGCTTTTGAGATTTATTTCTAAGTTGGCTTCCAAAAGTTGTACTTTCTTATATTCTTCCCTGGACGACCCATTTATCATATCCTTTTTGGTTTCGAGCATCACTGTTTTCTAAAAGTTCTTAACAATATGTGGATCAGAGATTCTTGAGCTGAATGTGGAACAGTCAGTTCTGTGGAAATAGAACCATGAGCTCTCCAGAGAGCTGCGGATCCAGGTGACAAGCAGCTTACCCTTGCAGGCAGTGGGTGTGGAGAGGAAAGCTGAGCAGTTTTAATTTCTGAAGGAGAGCTTAGGATTTGGTTTTTAGTTAAAATAGTGAAGTAAACTCAATGAAAAATGACTATAGGGATGCTAGTTAAAGGATAGGAACTAGATATTGGAAATTGAGTAAGAAAAGGATAAAGTTACCTAGAGAAGCCTGGGTGAAGTGGGGAAGAGATTGTTTTTCCTTTCTCTGGCTTTTTAGGGCATGCATCATGAATAACGAGTATAAAGGAAAAATTAATTAAATTTTATAATTTTAGGTGTGTTGAAGGTGTTAGGATGATTGCAAAGTTCAGAGGTCATGGAACAAAATTGGGGCACAGGTAAAAAAGTGGGGCTTCTAGTGATAATTTATGCAAAATCAGTGTCCAGTGGTTCTGGTCAGTGGGGAGATTAAATTTGAGGCAATGAGTGAGTGTGAGTGTGAGTGTGTGTGTGTATACAGATTATGTATGTATATAATCATAGAAGGCAAGGGGCAGAGGAACATAGTTGATAAGTGAAGCTAGTAGAAAAAACAGAACTTTTCAAAAAGTCTTTTTCAGCTTGGGAGACGCTTCAGACATATCAGGTTGGGGCACCCACTCAAAAGTCTCACAAAGGTCTTTCCAGGGGTGGGAGTGCTAGGGGTCAGCCATCATGTTAGTCTGTTCCTGTGTCCTGAGAGCCTAAGTGATTTGCTGAAGGGCACACGGCATACTCAGCAGTAAAACTTCAGTGTTGCTCTGGTGACTGCTACGGGCCAAGCCATACACTGTCTCCAAGGATGGTGTTTGGGATTATGCAAGGAGACAGAAAAAAGCCAGATTTTAATTCTACAACTGTGCTGAATTATGTGTCAGGCTCTTGATTCTTACCCAAACAGCTTGTAATACATGCTGAATTCCAAAGCTGACTTGCTGTGGGTTATTGAAAAGGAGGATTCATGGATCAACTACAGAAGCACAGGAATACTAAAAGTCCCTCGAGGCTATAGAAAATTTCTATGTGTGAAAAGAAGTATATAAAAAAATTACTTTCCTGAATTTACTCAATAGAGTTAGAGAGTCTAAACCAAAATTATTTTCTGAAAAGGAGGTTTGGGGTCCTCTTTGAATGTCTGAATGCAGGAAGATCACTCGGGCAGCTTCCGCCCTGTTCCTCTTTCATGTCAAGTGAACGAACCAGCTCAAATGCCTGAACAAGTTTTTACACAAACCTCCTGAAACATACTACACATCAAAATTCCCCACTAAATTGCTCTTTGGAGTCTACTTTCAAGTCTCCCTCATATCCTATGCCCTAACTCTAAATTATCATCATCATCATCATCTTCATCATCATTGTAATAACAATAATAGTGGTAATAGAGAAATGACAGACCTTTTAAAAATAAAGCAATATTTATAACTCCAAGACTTCAGGTACTATTATGAATTAGAAGCTGCCAAAATCAGTAAATAGTAAAGAAAGGTGAAGCATTTTTTTTTTTTTTCCTAAAGTAGAAACTTGGTTTGTCAAAACTTCCAGTGTGGAATCAAGTACTTATAGTCACCACACACATACTAAAGCATGCTCTCCAAGAGCAAAAAAGGTCACATTTGGTTGAGTTTAAGATATGACCCAAGTTTCAGGAGGCTTTTTCAAAGTTTTTGAAATTGAAAGCACTGTACTTTAAAAATCCACTTTTACAGTAGGCTAAGCTAGGGGAAGATGGGTGATGGCCCTTCAGTTCCTCAGACTATGTGCAGGTTCACACTCTGAGGGTGCTTTCAAACCTGATGACCCGAATAGCCTCCAGGGAAAAGGGCTGCTGCCCAAGAGGGCTAGTAGTACTATCAAAGAATTATGTATGCAGAGTTAGTGCCTTTAAATACACCTTTTGGCATATGTTGATATTCTAGAAGGTGCAGGAGAAGTTGTAGCACTTTGGGACTGTCTTTAGTCACACAAGATGCAGTCAAGCCAACATGAATCTGCTGTCATTTGTCCCTTTTCCGTCTTTGTGCTGCAACCTAGAGAGAAAAGGAAAACACGTGTTGTATCCTGGTGAGGACAAACTTGAAACCCCAGGCACTATCTTCAGCTTCTAGAACAGAAAAGCTAGGATGGCTGGGTTGGTCTTTTGAGCCAGCATCTGTGCTTTTGCTTCTAAGAGCCCGCAGGTGAGGGAAGGCAGCTCGTGTTGTGGCCACCTCTGTATATGATCTCATTCTAAGGCTGCTATTAGGTTCCTGGAGAGTAGGTAAAAGCATATTTTCCTACCAGTGTTTAAAAGGAGTGGAATACAAAATAATAGTAAACCCACACAAATTTATGGTACAGACACCACCATTATAGAAAAAATAAAAAGTATAAGAAACACAAAAACAAGATTCTAAGATGAATTATTCATAAACCACTTTTCTCCTCTTTATTTTCCACCCCCCCCCAAGCAGATCTTTTTTAAAAACTAAGACAATTTATGTAGACTCAAATGTAGAAAAAAATAAACAGATTTGCTGATGGAAATAGCCCCTAATATCCCACTGAAGAATGCCACTGGACAAATTTAATTACTATAAGCTGGTTTCTTACTGAGTACAAAGTCAAACATAATTTATTCTGGAGCCATAAGTTACCAAAAAAAAAAAAAATGTTGATGGAAATCAGATTTCAATGCCACAATGTGGATATGATGAGTGAGGCTTCCCCCCAAATTCCAGGACTCTGCCCACCTCCTGGCCCAGCTTTTTCCATAGCCTACACTATCTGACAGGTTCATCTGTCTTGTTTCCTAGAGTGGAAACTTCTCTAAAGGCAGGTATGTGTGTCTGCCATGTTGAAGCTACATTCTCATGCCTAGAACAATACTTGGCAGGTAGTGGTTGCTCAGTGTATGTTGTTACAGCAACTAAAAATTCTAAGTTTATTCCTTGGCTCTTTTTTCTTTTGAACAAACTTGTAATATGACTAACATTAATTTTACACATATACTGATTAAAACATATGTAACAACTGTTTTAATGACTGTGAAGAACCTAATTCCTCTATGTAGGCTTGATTAGTGTGATACTATTCATATAATATTTATTAACAAAAGTACAATAAATTCTAAAGCGCTAATAGCTGAATTAAAGATTTGACATGCAAATGTACCAGATAAGTAAAAGCTTTACTTAAATTGTGGCACACCACTGCTGAGAATTAATTAACCTGCAGAATTCATAATGAATAGAGCAATAGGATGAAGTAGAATTAATCTGATTTTTTTCCTGTCTTAAAATAAAAGGATAAATGGACACACATAAACGGTAGTATGAGTAGGAACCTTTGGGAAGCATAAAAGAAAGAAGCTTGAGTGTTAGGTAGAGAGCAGCACCTACAGTCCATGTCACCTCACTCTGACCAACTACAAAACAAGGATACATCCTTTCGGATCTACCTTAGAAAGCTGTGGTGAAGATCAGTTTAACCACTGATAGGGCATTGTTGTGATGCAAAGTACTATGAAACATAAGGCAAGAGATCTTTTCATCTGTCTAATGGTCCTGAAGGAGTGTACAAATCTCTGTACTTAAGAAGGTGGATAAATCTAATCATTTCTTTCTATTTAGATGAGGTCAAAATCTGTGGACATCTTCCAAGGACACTAGAAAAAAACACTCTCACACTTGCTTTCCAAGGCCAGGAATTCTTTGCTTCCATGAAAAGGTCTGACTATATGATGCAGCTAACTGTGGAGATCTCCAAATTTTGGATTGGTCCTAGAGAAAGGTATGTTTGGGGAAATAAGGTGGCTAGTCATGTTACACCAACTTTGAGAACAGAGAAAATCAGTCCGGACCTACGTTAAGAGGCTGCCTTTCAAACCTAGTGAAGGAATGACTTCAGGATTTAACAGAAGTTGAAGTTAGGGTATCTGTAGAAAGGGAATTTGGTGTCAAAAGTCTGGGAGTAGGAGGTCATGCATTTAAGTTCTAGTTTAGTTATTTATTAGCAGTGTGGCCTCAGGTAAATAATCTGACCTTACCTTTTTAATGGTAAAATGGGGCAATAAATGTAATTCTGCCATATGGTTTCTGGAAGGACTTAACACATACATTTGTGTGAATAGTGTTTAGAAATTGTAAAGAACGTTGTCAGTCTGTTATTACTTTCCAACAATTGTGCTCTTTGCATTTCTTTCAACTGCAGAGCAATGTGATCTAAGGAAAAGGAAGAAAGGAAAAAGTATATACTACAAACACCACAATAGTCAGAATGAGCATATTGGTGTATTTCCTTCCAGTGAAACAGATGAGATAAGGCATCTAAAGAGCCTAGAGGAATGTCTGACAGCATCAGGTCTGAATGGATGCTAACTCTAAATGTACTTTCTTTGCAGGCATAAAGGAGAAGTAGCTTCTCAAGTAGCAGGGATACAAGGAAGGACATAAAACCACTCCATGACTTAGTTTTCTCTCACACAGAAGATGTGATTGTGGACAATTGATGCTAGTAATTTGTCCATGGGTCACAGAGATAAGATAGGATTGGGAATACTATTAGGTATAGCCCACTACTGTAGGGTAATTCATTTCTATTGGTAGATGATTTTATTTTAAATTTTTTTAAAAGTAAACATTTTAATATTGTTTGAAACATAGTTGACCATTTTTAACTTTATTTGCATTCCTAAAGATTAAGATACCTGTTCACTGTAGTCACAAATCTGCATATGATGGAAACAACACTGTACATCTAGTAAGTAAATGGGTATATTTTTGTTTCTCACCTTCAGATTGCCTTTGTGCTTTGCTGAGACCCGAACAAGAGAAATAAAATCCTAAGTATGGACTGTAGTACACTAGAAATAGACCTGAACCAACAATACACAATTCCATTTGACATCCATGTTAAATCTGATGGAGGACAGTATCCTTAGGGGTACATAACCAGAGAAGTGCAAACCTTGAAAGATGAAAGAGTCACAGAACCAGAGTAAAAGTAGAATTTAAATTGAAGATTAAACAGACATTAAAAAGGAAAGAATGTTGGTAATCTGAGAGCAGTTTCAGTGATCTGTATGGTTTGATGAAAATGATGGAGGCTCTTGTGTACACAAGTGGTTTTATAGTTTGCAGAAATTTTTAATGCTTTCCCCAAACTCAGCACATTAATCAAAAAGAGAAATGATGTAAGAGAACAAAGGGTCAAAGGATTTGAGTAAGCTAAAGTCTCCTAGTGTTTGGTATAATAACATTCTTTAAAAAGTGATAGTTTGCAATTCCTTAAAAAAAATTGAAAGAATATGATATATAAGTGTGGATATAGATATATCCTTGTACTAATTATATATTTGAATCCATGTGTTATTTGTGTATATAAACCTATATTATTTGCTCCTAATATTATTCCCCAATATGTGTGCAACATCTTCAGTTTTTTATTCTTTGTTTATTATTCAACTCCCAGTTAATGCTATACATTATAAGTAAGCATAAGTTCTTTATCTTTGGCATCAAAGGTAAAGTCAAATATGAAAGAAAACAAAATCGATGATTTATAGCTAAGATATGACATAAATTCCTGTTGAAAGCTCCTAAAATCTAATGTATAGTATGGTGACTATAGCTAATAATACTGTATTGTATATCTGAAATGTGCTGAGAGTAGATTTTGGGTGTTCTCATCACACACACAAACACACATGCACACAAACAAAAGGTAACTATGTGAGGTGACAAATTAAGTACATTGAAATCATTTCACAAGGTATACATATATGAAAACATCACACTGTACACCTTAAATATACACATTATCTTAGTCAATTATACCTCTATAAACCTGGAAAAGATAAAGCTCCTTGGAAGTTAAAGTATTTATATAGACCACATGTATTCTCAAACTTCAATAGTTTTGCTTGTGGGCTTGATATAAATAACCTTTAAAGCCATGTAACAACGTGATAGTAACATTAGCATTGCCATATAAACAATGTATTCTAACTTCAGATCTAGTGACACAGATAAAATCACTACAGCATGTGTAGTTCAATTAACTGACAGAAGAAAAGTCATAGCCCTTTTATCTACAACGATTAGAGAGCATATTTATTTACTTTTGTTTGAACCTAAATAAGCAGTTAATAAATGAGTTTATGAATCTGTCCCTGGAAAATTCACTCTTAGAAATGAATAGTGAACTTCAAAATCAGTCATGTTTATTGCAGCATTATTTGCAATAACCAAGAGCTGGAAACACCCTGAGTGCCCATCAGCAGCAAATGGCTGAATAAAGAAGATGTGGTTTCTCCATGCACAGTGGAATACTATTGAAATATTTTTTTTTAAAAGGAAATGCTGCCATTTCAATAACATGGAGGGATCTAGAGGGTATTGTACTAAATGAAATGAGTAAGACAGAGAAAGACAAACATTGTGATTTCATTCATATATAGAATATAAAGGGACAAGACAAATGAGCAAACAAACAAAATCCAGCTCTTTTAGAAAATAAGAACAAAATGGTGGTTACCAGAAGGGAAGGAGAAGATGGACTGGCAAATCGGGTAAAGAGATTAATTGTGAAGGACTGAAACCAGACTTTTGGTGTTAAACATAGTATAATGCTATATACCTGAAATCTATATAATGTTGTAAACCAATGCTTCTATAAGACATTTTTTAAAAAGATTTATTTGTTTGTTTATGTTTATTTATTTTTGTAGAACTGGGGTATAGGGGGTGAGAGAATTCACCAGAGACAGTGGGGAGCAGAACAGGGGGATTTACTGCAACACAATGCTGAGGGGAGCAGCGGGACACAGGGAAGGTCTGGTGCATCGTATGTGGGTTAGCTCTCTGCCCGGGGATTGACCTCTCAGGTCTTAGTGGTGATAGCACTTAGACAACCCCTAGACCACCAGGGAGGACCCTATAAGACATTTTAAAAAATACCCAAGTGGAACCACTAGAACTGAAAATTACAATATATGAAATAAAAATTCATTAACAGGTTAACAGAAGATGAAAAAATACAAGACAAAGTA